AGCCCAGAACTACAAGGGAGGAGCTGGTCAATGACATGAAGAGAACTGGGACCACAGTTTCAAAGGTCACTGTCGGTAGAACACTACGCCGTCATGGTTTCAAATCATGCATTGCACAGAAGGTTCCCCTGCTCAAGTCATCACATGTCCAGGCCCGTCTGAAGTTTGCCAATGACCATCTGGATGATCCAGAGGAGGCATGGGAGAAAGTCATGTGGTGAGATGAGACCAAAGTAGAACTTTTTGGTCTAAACTTCACTCATCGTGTTTGGAGGAAAAAGAAGGATGAGTTGCATCCCAAGAACACCATCCCTACTGTGATGCATGGGGGTGGTAACATCATGCTTTGGGGGGTGCTTTTCTGTGAAGGGGACAGGACGACTGCACTGTATTAAGGAGAGGACGAATAGGGCCATTTATTGTGAGATTTTGAGCAACAACCTCCTTCCCTCAGTCAGAACATTGAAGATGGGTCGTGGCTGGGTCTTCCAACATGACAACGACCCGAAGCACACAGCCAGGATAACCAAGGAGTGGCTCCGTAAGAAGCATATCAAGGTTCTGGAGTGGCCTAGACCTAAATCAAATAGAACATCTTTGGAGAGAGCTGAAACTCCGTGTTGCTCAGTGACAGATCTAGAAACCTGACAAACCGAAACCTGACAGATCTAGAGGAGATCTGTGTGGAGGAGTGGGCCAAAATCCCTGTTGCAGTGTGTGCAAACCTGGTCAAGAACTACAGGTAACGTTTGACCTCTGTAATTGCAAACAAATGCTTCTGTACCAAATATTAACACTGATTTTCTCAGGTGTTCAAATACTTATGTTCAGCAGTGCAAGGCAAATAAATTCTTTACAAATCATACAATGTGATTTCCTGAATTTTTTTTTAAATTCTGTCTCTCAGAGTGGGAATGCACCTACAATGTGAATTTCAGACCCCTCCATGATTTCTAAGTGGGAGAACTTGCAAAATCGCAGGCTGTTCAAATACTTCTCTTCCTCACTGCAGTTTAGGTCCATATATATTTGGACACAGACACATTTTTTTAGCTATAGTTATATAATGGATATGAGCTGAAAGTGCACACTCTCAGGTTTAATTTGAGGGTATGTACATCCAAATTGGAGGAAGGGTTTAGGAATTACAGCTCTTAAGAGTAGCCATCCCCCCTTTCTCAAGGGACCAAAAGTAATTGGACAATTGAATCAAAAGCTGTTTCATGGCCAGGTGTGGGCTACTCCTTCGTTATTTCTTCATCAATTAAGCAGGTAAAAGGTCTGGAGTTGATTCTAAGTGTGGTATTTGCATTTTAAATCTATTGCTGTGAACCTACATCATGCATTCCAGGGAGCTGTCCATGCAAGTGAAACAGGCCATTTTAAGGCTTCAAAAACAAAACAAATCCATCAGAGAGATAGCAACAACTTTAGCAGTGGCCAAATCAACAGTTTGGTACATTCTGAGGAAAGAAGAACGCACTGTTGAGCTCAGCAACATAAAAAGGCATGGAAGTTCACGGAAGACAACAGTGGTGGATGATCGCAGGAATGTTTGACCTCGGTACAGACATACAAGGTGACAAACACAGGTTAAAATGGCAATTAAATATTAATTCCCCACTTCTGTAGCTTTTAAATTGCAATTGGTGTCTGTGTATAGATAGTGAGTGAGTTTGTTAAATCTCATGTGGATGCACTAAGCAGGCTAGATAATGAGCCATGGGGAGCACAAAAGAACTGTCAAAAGTCCTGTGTAACAAGGTAATGGAGCTTAATAAAGATATAACAAGATATCCAAAGCCTTGAATATGCCAGTCAGTACTGTTCAATCACTTATTAGGAAGTGGAAAATTTGAGGATATCTTGATGCCAAAATTGTTCACGATGCAAAGCAAAATCCTCAGGTAACCTTTTTTAATGAGCACAATACGATGATACTGAATGGTGAAGTTGGCAGAAAGAATCTGTTACTGCACCAATGCCACAAGAAAAGCCCAGTTACAATATGCCCACCCATCTTGACACACATCACAACTTCTGGCACACTGTATTCTGGAGTGATGATACCAAAACAGAGCTTTATGGTCACAACCATAAGCACTATTTTTGGAGACGGGTCAACAAAGCCTATAGCGACTAGAATACCATCCCCACTGTGAAGCATGGTGGTCGCTCACTGATGTTTTGAGGGTGTGTGAGCTCTAAAGGCACAGGTAATCTTGTGAAAATTGATGGCAAGATGAATGCAGCATGTTATCAGAAAATACTTGCAGACAATTTGCATGCTTCTGCACAAAAGCTGTGCAGAGGACACTCTTGGACTTTCCAGCACAACAATGACCCTAAGCTCAAGGTTTAGCTTGACCCTCCAGTGGTTATAGTAGAAAAAGGTTCTAGAGTGGCCATCACATGCCCCTGACCCGTTCTGGGGTTATCTCAAACATTTGGTTCATGCAGGAAGACCACAGACTGTGCATGACCTGGAGGCATTTTGCGAAGATGAATAGGCAACTATACCACCTGCAAGAATTTGGGGCCTCATAGACAACTATTACAAAAGACTGCATGCTGTCATTGATGCTAAAGGGAGCAGTACACAGTATTAGGAACTAAGGGTACGCAGACTTTTGAACAGAGGTCATTTCATTTGTTCACTTATTGCCATGTTTTGTTTTATGATTGTGTGAATCACTCTTTTGTGACCTACAGTTGAATATGAATCCCACAAGAAATAAAAGAAATGTTTTGTTTTGCCTGCTCACTCATGTTTTCTTTAAAAATGGTACATACTTTCACCAATCCTCCAAGGGTATGCAAATTTTTGAGCACAATATATATATACATATATATATATATATATATATATATATATATAAATAGAATGTACCTTTAGATAGTAATCACAATATGAACAGATCAGTGTATGTCTGTGTGTGTGTGTTTCATTATACAACAACAGGGTGCTGATGTGATGTGACTTATAACCACCAAATAACCTCTGTATTTGCCCACATCCTAAGAAAATTCTTATCACAGAGGTGCTAATTATGGAATAATGTTTTTTTATTTATTACGGGCATTTATATAGCATCAATTTAAGAAATGCTCTACTTTAGCCGGCATGAAGCACACAGTGGGCTGCTTTGTTAGCATAATATTTGCATTAACTAATTCATACAAACATTTCAACCTGAAGATATCTGTCCCAGATAATTGCTAGCAGTTTAAACTGCAGTTAAAAAATATTTTACATACCAAAGATCAAAGTATTTGGTATTCGTAAGTGACACTATTTTGTGTATTTTATATAAGTAAATATATATTTGAATATTCATAGTAAGAGTAACTCTTATAATGCATAAAATATTTACAATCCAGTTTATGAAACATGTCATTTGGTACATATGATGATTTTAAAGCCATACATGCAAAGTAAAAATCTTATTTCCTGTTGTTTCCACTTTTAAATTATAAAAATTTTGACACTTTTTTCCCTATTGCAGTAAACTGGATATCATATATATTTTACTTTACTGTTGCTTCACAGTACAGTGGAGTTAAATTAGCCTAAAAATAGGGCAGACATTGGCAAGATTAAATTGTAAACTGCTTAATGCACCTATGCTCATCCTAAATGTTGATGAAGCTGCCACAGCAGATCAACGTTTGGTCATACTGTTTGTCAGGGGCAATAATGGATACTGCTCCCTCTTTGCTATCTGCATGTGGCGCGGCTCCAAAAAAACACAAACAGCCTGGAAACGAGCTAGCACCAGTGTCCCCATAGCAAGCCGCACAGAGAAGAGGAGGAGCCAGAAGCAATGGTGGGGGACCCCTGAAGAGGAGGCTCTGTGCAAAACTATTACACAGAGCAGGTAAGTATAACATGTCTGTTTTAAAAAATGTAGATTTGACAATAACTTTAAGCAGGATGACCAGGTGGAAATAAAGGAAAGAAAGACAAAATGAAAACTAATGCAAATGCCTAGAACTAAAACTAGGAAGTTCCACTAAATTAAAATGTTTAGCTTCTGGTTTAAGCATGCTTTTAAATCAGATGTAAACACTAACTAAATTACATAAAATTTGCTCTTTGCACTGTATATCACACTTGTACATTTCTCTTTCCTAAAAATACAGTTTTGCATCTCAATGGTACTAAAGTCCCTGAACCTCACTCCTGTTTTGACTGTACATCATTTCTCTGGACTATATTTTCTAATGATGAACACAGTGGACTATGCCTCCTAATTTCTGTATGTGTCAGCATTGCTTGTATTCTCCATCAGGGGTACATGCAATAAGCTGACAACTGGGGCACAACTAGTAATAGTTGTCGCCATGTGGCATGTGTCTCAATAAGGACCTTCATGGTAGGATCACTGGATATCCTTTTAATAAAAGGTGCAGATTAACAAAGATTGAAAACATTTTTTGTAAAAAAACATTAATATAATAAAGCTCACATGATATATTAGTATTTGGATTTACAGATGCTTTTCATTGCCGAGACAGCACACTGTGCTAAAAGGTGACTGCTATGATGAAAGTAAAGAAATATATATACAGTTGCATTACTTATGTGGGAATTGTTTTACTTTCTAAAGGATTTGTAGTTCTGCCAGCTAGTCTTAAGATTTTAGACATACATCAGAGCCAGGCCAGTGACTTGAATTTCTCCACTGCAGTTAAAGCGTATTTCCAGTTTTGCAACCAAATTTGAGAAAACCCCACTTCTAATTCACACCTAAAAGTAAAAATGTCTGGTTCTGTGTATATTGTTTTGGGTAACAGCCAACACCTGCATAACACCCAGGGGCGGACTGACAACTCATGGGGCCCCCGGGCAATAGGGGATCATGGGGCCCATGTGTCCTTGCCAAAACTCAAAAAAGCCTATGAAAAAGGTACCAGGGGCATCTCATGGGGCCCCCTACTGACCCGGGCCCTCGGGCAGTGCCTGAGTTTCCAAATGGTCAGTCCGCCCCTGATAAAACCTGCTTGTTTAGAGCAGGTCTCAGGCAGACTGCAGGCTACTCTGAACAATTAGATATTGGAGCAGACTGTCTCCACTGACAAAGAGGGACACAATGAGTTTTTCCTTATTAACATATAATACAGGAGCCTAACTTGTAGGTCTTTAACCACTTGGAGACCTGCATGCTAAACTCTCTTCTTGCCCAGGCCATTTTTCACTTTTCAGCGCTGTAACATTTTGAATGACAACACTGTATCCATGTGAATTTTATATATCTTTTTTTAGACAGATAGAGATTTCTTTTATTGATATTTAATCACCACTGGATTTTTTTATTTTCTGCTATATAAAGAAAAAATGACTGAACATGTTGAAAAAATGTTTTCCTAGTTTCTTAAAACTTAGAAAATAAATAATCTTTCTTCATAAATGTAGAGCAAAATGTATTCTGCTACATTTCCTTTGTGAGAAAAAAAGAAAAACCAATATGTGTATATTATTTAGTCTGAGTGAAAAGTATAGAGCAGGGGTAGGCAAGCTTTGAGAGGTGGAGATCTACCTGAGCAACATAGAAGAGATCAAAGATCACCAAGGTGAAGTGTCCTTTAACCCCTTTGCGCCGGCCCTTTAAGGGTTTCAGAAGCTGGGAGGCGGGGTTTAGGGTCATGTGACCGCCATGACATGCCGTCACAGCGGTCACATGATCGGGAAAGGTCCCGATCGAAAGAGGAGATCGGGACCTTTCTGTGAGTAGGGAGCGCACTCTCAGCACATATGTTCTTTTTTAACAGAACGCAAATGTGAGGCCGCTTGGCGTCTAGGCCCAGACGCCGGGGGAGGCCGCACATTTGCGTTCGGCCGGCGTGAAGAGGTTAAAAAAAAAAGAAACAACTATCAAGGCCCCAAAAAAATGATGGCATGAAGAAAACTTATAAAAATATAATAAAACAATGTCACTGTAAAAAAAAAAGATGTATACACTTACCTATTTTCAGCCTGCTCTGGTCAGGTCACATGGTGCCCTGTGTCAGCCAGTGGTGGTTGCAGAGGAGAGGAGAGGAGATTGACAACCGTTGGTGAAACCTGGAGTGGTCCTTCTCCCATAGGTTCCCATGTCCTAGCCATTGCTGGCACTCTCTCCTCTCTCCTACATACTCTGTTGGCTGACACAGGGGAGATAACGTGACCAGATTGGAGCAGTCTGACAATAGATTAGTTAGCAGAAAAATGCCATACTTACCTCCCGTCTGCAATGGGTTTTCACCTAGTCCCCTACCGGCACTCCTGGCCCCTCCCCCCTGCCAAGTGCCAATCCGCTTGCTCTGGGGGCACTCATGTGTGAACACTCATGTGTGCATGCTCTGGAGCCTGTTCTGTGTGTCTGTGAGACACACAGAGCATGGCTCAGTCCTGCCCCCCTCTATCCTCATCACTGGCTGTGATTGACAGCAGAAGGAGTCAATGGCTCCCACTGCTATTTTCTCAACCAATGAGAAGAGAGAAACTGAGAGATGCTGCTCCTGCTCACATCGCTGGATCGAGATCAGGCTCAGGTAAGCATTGGAGCATTGGTGGGGCTGTGGGGGTAGCAGCACACAGTCTTTACAAGCACTTTAATTAACCCCTTTATGCTGCAATATTGGCCAGCATCAGTGTTTATTAACCCCATTTATGCTGCAGCATAAAGGGGTTAATTAACAAAGTGGTTAACACTTCCACTGGTCACTATTGCATCAGTGCCCAGTGGCAGTACATTAACTCTCTGCTGCAGATTACTAATATCATTAATTAACCTCTTCACTTCCCCATCACAAAACCCCCTCTCTGTCACTAGTGTAACACATCAATACACATGTAAGCAAGTAAATATCAGCCATCCAGTGCTTAAGTTATTGCTTACTTGAACATGCACGCTCCCTTACTGTACTGGTGTCACTCTCCCGCTTTCTTCCACTCCCGCCTCCCAGCCTCTGAATGACATTGAGTGACAGGCCAGGACTAGAAAAGCGTGTATGCATTTTAGACTTGTGCCGGATGCAGGCGTGCTCTTGGCACCCTGCTGCAGCATGTGCTCAGTTTTACATGTTGTAGATTGCTGATCTAGGTGGCAGGAGCATTCAGGAGCTGGGGGCTTGTCAGGTCAAGATCTGCCTGTCAGATGGCTACGATCGACAGGTAAATTGCGATCAATGGGTTGTTGACCCCGGAATAGAGTCAACAAGCCATGACTTATATAATATAGAAGGCGCCAAGGATATGTCGTGGAGGGGCGTTATTTTCATTCCTTTTGAGAGGTTCTCAGCCCTAGCTGAGAGATTTCAGGGAAATGCCAACAAGATGGGAAATTGATTAACAGTTTCTCCTTTGTATCTTTAGTTTTTTATGGGTCCCTGGAGTCTGGAGACTTTAAAAGTTAATGGGATGGATGAGTCTCTCCACCCTCTCAGCTGAAGGGTTAATGGCTTCATCTGGGTGGAGAGGTGTGTTAAGGGTGTAGCCCTCACCTTGCAGGGGGGCTGTGTGTGGGAAGACACATGGATGAAAAACAATGTCTGCTCCTAAACTGCTGAGCCATTTTGCTTGTGCTGCTATGCGCTGTGTTTGACCCCGGAGAAAGGAGAGGACACAGCTCTGGAGTGACAGTTCCGTGGAGTGACCTATTCTGTGGATGGCAGTAAGCCAAAAAGATTATTGTGGGTTAAGGACTGTTTTTTGTCTGCTCCAGACTTGTGTTTAAGCCCCTGTAGATGTCAGGAATGGACTTGCCAGTGGTGGTGTGACTCACCTGCCTTGTGGGCTGCAGTACCAGGGCTGGCCAGCGGATGCTCTCAGCAACCAGAGGCTCACTCCTGCAATGAGCCATCACCTGAGGCTGATTACAGCAGGTGTATTTAAGGAATGGCCAGGCCTGTGATCAGGGCCTTGGTGTATGTTTCCCATGAGCCCCTGTACCTGGTATCCTGTGTTCTTGCCTCGTTGCTGACCCTGCTTTGATCCTGACCTCTGCTGACCGTCTCCTGTGGAACCCCTGGCTTGCCTGACCATCCTTCTGCCTGATCCTCGGTACCGCGCTACCCTCTACCTGCTGAACCTGGCTTGTGACCCCGACCATTCTCTGCTTGCTCCTCCTGTACCACGCTGCCCGCACGATACCGACCTGGCCTGTCTGACTACGCTTACTTCACCCGACGATCCATCCATCCCACACAGATCACCTTTAGTAAGTCTGCCTGCCTCTTCCCATCAGACGCCGTTCCTGCACTCCCCTGCCAGTACTCTCTACCACAGCCGGACGCACTCAGGGGTCGCGACCTGGTTCCAGTCTGCACCAAGTCCATCCCCACCATCAGGGGCCCTGGTGAATAGCAGGCTGGGACTTAGACCCCACGCCCTGAGGAAATCCGTGCTGTGGGCTGCTAGAGACACCACCAGGCGGCACCTGACAGTACCTTATGGCCTGCCTGACCATTCCACCTCTCCAGCCTGACTACACCTGTGTTCCTGAAGCCTGCTACTTCCCTGTGTCAGTCCACACATTTCTGGTCATACCCAGATCCCTAATAGTAGAGGCTGAAGGAATATTCCCCCCGCTGTTGGTGGGGCATGAATTACACATCTCATTTCCTGACTACCTTTCAAGACAGTGCAAACACAAATATTTTGGAGAATAAACATCCCAAGGTATTTTTAAGAGGTGTGGTGATTCTTTTAAAGGCTTAATATTTTTGCCACAAGTTTTTGAAAAAATGCCCAAAAAAAAGAAAATTTTTTTTACACAAAGTTGTCGGTTCACCATAAAATAAAACACATTCTGTTACTACTCTTGAGTATAGGAAAGCCACATATGTGAGCCTTTTTCAATGTTTGGACTGATTATGTACATAACATCGTATCTTGTTCATTGTATCACCAAAATCAACCAATTGTATCAAAAACAGTGTACTGTAATGGTCCCCTCTGTATGATTGGTCAGGGAATATATCTTAGTGTAGCATCATCTGTAGCAGTTCCTGTGCCTACAAGCCAAGCAAGCCTAGCCTACAGGTATGTATCTGCCCCAAGGAATGACATGTTCAATGGCCAGGAAGTACAGGAGGTTAAAGAAAGGAAGAACAAAAGAGTTCCTGTGGTTCCAGGAGTACAGTTATCTGCAGGGGATGGGTTGGACTGGTGTCAGGTCCCAGATCTGAACCTATGATATCTATTGTATCTGGCAATGTATACTCTTGCTGAACCACCTGGAATGCTGTACAGCTCCCTAGACAATTCCTTCAACAGTTCTGCCTCGAAACCCTGTTTGTCTTGAACCCTCTGCTCCTCTTATGAGCTTCCTATTAAAGCCATGCCTTTGCACTTCCTGTTTACCAGCTTATTTTGCTCTCTCCAGCCAATATCTCGCTCTTGTCAGTCATGCTGCTGTCTGTACCATTGCTACCACTCATTGCTTTCCCTTGGTTTGTTCCTTGACTGCGCTTCTGCTTGATCTCAACCTGCAACCACTCAATACTGACCTTTGGCTTGTTTACTGACTACGCTTCCGCTTATCCCTACCTACTATATCTGCTACAGGGCCCCAGCTTGCTCACTTTCTGGTGGGGCAGTCCTGAAGACAGTGACCTGGTACTAACATGGAGCAAACCCCATCTCCACCATTAGGAGTTCTGGTGAACATCAGTTAGTACTTAGACTCCGCACCTCATGTGAGTCCTCGCCATCTGCTGGAGTGACCTGTTTTTGAAGTTATTCATGTGGCTGGCGAATGCCTTGCTACTGCTATAGCTACTGGTCTCCAAGCTTGATTACAGATCATGACAACAATTGTCTTGCAGGAATGTAATCAGTAGGATATGCACATGGGTCAGTTCAAATGGCAGGCAGAGACATGGTCAACAAAGAGGCAAACACCAAAAAAAGATAAATAAGTGAGCGCTTCTAAAGAAGAGCTGCTAGCAACAAACAAGTGACACACCAACTTTTTAAAAAAATCAATGCAGCGCTGAATCATAAATGACCTAATACATACAAAATTATCAATAAATAATATAT